AAGAGTGGGGGAGAAGGAAAACGATGCAGAGGTGTAGGAGGGATGCAGTGGATGGGAACAGTGTCCCACAGATTCACCTCTTCCTCAAACCTGACCCAAGCCAGAGGTGCTTGGACAGATGCTTGGTGTTTCTCAGTGATCCCAAATGACTTTTGCTCTTGCTTGCTTTGGCCTAGCGAGAGAAATATTTTGGTATGTTGTAAACCAGTGGCATAGCTAGGAAGCCTTTTCACGATCTCTAAGCAAGAGCATGATCTGCTCATGACCATTCTACTATAAAGTATAAATTTTACATAACTGGTGAAACGTAGGAAAACCTGCCCATGAATGTGAAAAATGTATGTGAAGGAACATCCTAGTTAAAAACACTTTAAAAAAGACAGAGCGAGCTGAAAAAGGGCACTAGCACTGCCCTTCCAAACAGACGACTCCAAAAACAAAATTAATTTGGTCTTGTTAGCCATTTGCAATAGTTTATGAAGCCGAGAAAACATACCCATCAATAACCTAAACTTGTTAAAAGATGTACTGCAAAGACTTACAAATGCTATAATGGATGATTGCTGCCACAGGCCAGCCTCCCTTCTGTTCCAAGATTAAAATAAGGACAAAAGGAATTGATGCCCTTAAACCAGATGTGAAGTTTTCTACAGTGAATAGAAGTAAAATTTGACCTTGATTGCCATGTGTTCTTTAAGACTCAAAAGAAATACATTTTTAATGTACTGCCTGACCATTAAGGCTACTAACAGAAGAAATAAAACTTACTGTGCAAGGCTTTTTGCAGTAGAACAAACAAAAGAATAAACTTTATTTTAAATTCAGTGTAAAACATGAGGAACAGAGGCAACTTAAGATCACATTGTTCCCAATATGCAAGCACACAGCAACTGCAGCATTGTACTGTAAGCAACAGCAGAAAGTACTGTATTATATTGCCAAGTCCAACCTCAGTCTAACCTGTCACCAGGTAAAGCTTCATTGTTAGAAACATCTCATTATTTCTTACTACTTTACAGCAGCAAAACCAGTTTAAAGTCGGTATTTCTGAAAACACGTGCTACTCAACAGGTGAATAGGTATATAAATTTGCAGTCCTCTATGGCAACCACTTCAAGTAAAACAGCTCCACAGTTAAATGCTTATGTGTCAACACCTTAATAATTAGGTGCTTCTGAACCTCACTGGGAAAAATGCAAGTAATCAGTTCCACTTCTCCGGCATTGATTCTCTATCTTCCAGAGCACTGAATAAGTATTTGACATTATGACATTATGGATCAAATTCATTAATGGTGTCGACTCTATTGATTTCAGTGATGCTGCAGTGAAAAATGCAAGCACGTCACCCTTTTTTCGCTGGTTTTTTCACTTTGCATTTCGTAAACACTTTAGTGTGAATATAACTTCAACATGTAAAATTTAATTTTCATGTTGAATGGGTTGGTATGCACTAGTCAGTTTCTGAAGTATTTTACCTCATACTTAGGGAATCCAAAAAAATTGTAAGATATGATCTCAGCTATTGTTACAGTGGTAAAAATTAATCCTCTAGTGTAGAGGGCATTTAAATATCAGCCAAGTGTTTACCACAAAGGAAAACTCTGTATATTTGCAATTTGTTGAAGGTTGAGAATTGTAGTGGGTTTATTTCAGTCCCCTGGCATGGTTCACTAAAGCTGCAAGTCCAGGTGTACATGATGGATTTATTCACTTTATTCACCTTTATTTGCGTAAGGTAGTTCATGAAAGCGTTTTAAATTTAAAATGCTCCAAGAAATTAGTATCTGTCTAAAGCACTTTAAACATCTATTAATTCTTCCGCTATGTTGGGCTACAAGTACTTCACGTTGTTTTAAAAGTTTTGGATAAGGGAAAAATGGGTCCTGACATAATTTTCTAGAATGTTAATTTGATAATAACAATTGCACCCTGGAATTTCAGAGGTCAAATGAAGAGAATATAGGAGATAGCCATCATATTTTCAGTTAAAGCTTGCCTGCAGCTATACCTATTTTAACCTGAACGATGAATTCTTTAAATAAAAAATGAGTTTTCCAGACCTGAAATTTTCTACTCTCTTCCTTTAGTAAAGGTAGAAGGATCATGTATAAACTGTTTGCACAGTACTTCTTGCTATGCTTTCTTCAGTCATTGGAAACAGTGCATTGTTGTCATTGGTTTCTTTACCTTAAGCCACCAATGTACTCCTGCTTTTCAAAGATGGTGATGTTCGAATAGCCCAATCGAGCCAAATAGGAAGCACAGCTTAAACTTGCAGGTCCTGCACCAAGGAGAGCTATCTTCACGTGATAGGCTTCAGGCATATCTTCTAGAGGAGGTAAGGAAGGGTCTCTGATCTGAGGAATATTCATAGCTTTGAACACCTGAAATGCAACATATTCAACAGGTTACATACTTTACATGCCCTCCTTAAATTTTGTTATGAATAACAAGCTGGAAGCTTCTGCTAGTACTGTCACATATCATTGATGTATTATTGTGGATAGCTTCATAACATTACAGGGATTCCCAAATGACATGATGTGTGCATTTGTGAAGGGGTGTTGCTGTTGCAGGATTTGGTCCTTCTTGTCTTAACAATGTCTGAAGTTAGATCTTTACTGTAAATTTTACAGAGAAGATGGAACTAGACTATCAATAACAGAATAGTAATACATGGTCAGCCAGATGGCCAAGAGTCTTTGAAACACCAAAAATTTCCTTCCAAACAATGTTCCGATTATTCTTTCTACTAGAAAAGTATTTTTGTGAATAATGCAAAGGTTTGTAACGCCAGTGAAGAGGCTTTGCTTCTTCAAGAGACATATTGTGTGATACTGGATAAATCACTTATGGCTTGACTTTCTGGAGGTGGTAATTAACTAAACTTGGGTGGTTTTCAAAGATTTTTAGGAATTGCATTTAGTCTTAAGTGCTGTACTTCCAAAGGTAACCCGTGATTTAAATCCCTACTTTTACGTAATTCTAATATGACTTATTTCATGTTAACTACTCATCTATTTTAGATGTTTGCCACTTTTAAACTGAGTGTCCAAAACTTGTAGGCATACCTGAAAGTTCTGTTCTCCCTGTGCCTCAATTCTTCACCTGTAAAATGGTGATGGTCTGCTCAATTCTGTCTTGACTATCAAAAGTACTTCGGGGCAGTCTCTGACCACTATTTTGTATTTATACAGAACCCAGCCCAATGGGCTCCTAACCTAGTCGCAATGTCACACAGTTTATTTCAGATTTGCACTAAATCAGGTCTTTGCTCAGGTACACCAGTAAGAAACTAAGGGAGAAATTTTCCTGCATTCACTGAGCTAGACTTCACTGTACTCTGCATTTACATATGTTGTAGGGGAAGGAATGGAGTCTGTGTCTTGTATAACCTATAAAAGGAAAGAATAGGCTCACAGCCCTTGCAGGCTACTGAAGATTAAGAGCGTGGAAGAGCATAGGTACATCTTCAGTTTATTTTAGGCATTGGAGGAAAACATTTAACCCAAACAGTCTGTCTTGGTAGCAGAAGCACAATATTATACTGAAAGGATACACAAGTTCATTGCATTGAGATTCTCAGTCATATCACAAATGCTTCAAGGCTGTATCTCAGAAACTACCAGAAGACAACACTGTTTCCATCTATTTCAATTCAGAACTGTGTTCCATAAGGGCTAAGCAGTCTTCTAAAATACATACATTGCCATTTGTCTTAATAAATATAATATTTGAGCTGTTCAACAGGTTTACCAACAGTTTTCACTTTCCTTAGAACTCAAGAAGCAAAAGCTTTTCAGGTTAAACTTTGGCAATTCCACTTGTTAATACTATTTTTCATTTAAATTTTGCATCAATGTTCATTTTCTTCATGCGCACTTGAGCACTCATGCTAGGTAAACCAATGATTAGTTCCTTCCCTCTCTAAAATTTCTGTGTCAAATTCCCCCAGTCTTTGTAAATTGACATAGCATTTTAACCAACTGCAAGAAGCGAGAGACAGATAATTGTTTTTTTAAAAAAGAATCATTTAAACCTGACAATTCATACAATATGGGAAGGCTTAATGTGGTTATTAATGGATTTCACAGGCTGAAAAGCTTATATTGTACTGTGAAACTAGACTGTGATAACCAAAATGCAATAGGATATTTCTGAAATGTCTGCTTTGTTACATTCATACAGAAATGGCTGGAATGATAGCAAATTTCCATTAAAGTCTCATGCAGTTGTTTAAGAAAGCTACTTAGTAATATAAATTCTATAACTTGCATATTTAATGTGTATACTGAACACCATGAATATGCTTATGCTTAACAAATTTATCACTAAATTTACTCTCTTGTTAACGTACTTATCTTTATGTTTATTACTGAATAGTCACACCCACCAACTAAACATCATACTGAAATGCCGTGCCGCTGTAGTGCAGTGTTAAGCTTCAGAAACCAAGCACTCATGCAGGAAATCCTAGTAGTTCAGGCTGAATGGTCAACTTTAATTCTGCCTATCTGCAAATAGGGTAAAACTGTCTTTATGCAGCGCAGCCAGCTTGTGTGGCGATATCTTGCCATCTGGAATTCAGTGGCAGTTTTGCATATTAAGGCTGGCAGGGTAACTGTGTGAAAATAGCAAACTGCTTCAATGCAATTCAAAGGATTTTCACTCACCTCACGGTGACGTTTCCCTATGCTGTAATTCACCTAATTAAATATCACTGAATTCTTATGTACAAATCCTTCGGTGTGCAGGAGTAAATACCTTGCAAGCAAGTGTTAAGTGCCACATGACATGCAACTGTCGTCTCTGATTTTAATTTGCTCAGACTCTGGTCAGGATGCAAGTATAGTTTAACACTACTGCCTTTCTTGTCCACCTTTCCTTCAGAAAGATTATCTAATTTTTGTTTGGATGAAATAATTCTTCTGTTTTGCAGTTATTTTAAACCAAAACTCATTCAGGAAAATGAGACCTAGTAACAAATGTTAAAGCTGAATATCCAAGTGAAATGTGAAAAGTGACCTCATTAATGTTTATTGACCTCATTCATGTTTATAACTTTGTAAAGGGCGAGTGTCAGGAGGAAGGAGCCAGGCTCTGCTCTGGGATGGCCAATGCCAGGACAAGGGGCAATGGTCCCAAGCTGGAGCACAGGAGGTTCAAGCTGAAGATGAGGACAAACTTTGTCAGTGTGAGGGTGGCAGAGCATGGCCCAGGCTGCCCAGAGAGGTTGTGGAGTCTCCTTGTGTGGAGACACCCAAAGCCCTGGCCGTGTTCCTGTGTGACTGCTCTGGTGATCCTGCTCTGGCAGGGGTTGCACTGGGGGAGCTTTCCAGGTCCCTTCCAACTCCTCATATTCTGTGATTCTGTGAAAAGACTCAGCCATCATCTCCATGTCTCTATTTTCTTCTGTCTCTCTCACATACACAAATAAAATAGATTAGATAGATTATTTATAGACATTAACAACACTGAGTATTCATTCTTTAACTTTTTATCAAATACTATGCAATCATCATTACTTCACCATTCAGGGCCTATTCAAACTAAGCCCACACAGATTCCATCCATCTCTTATGGTTCATGCCCATTAGGGTCCATAGAAAGGATGCCTCAGTTTACTAAAAAGATTATGGAGACTTTGTCCTCAAGTGAGAGGCAATGTGACCCAACTGAAACAGCCAATCTATTCTGCTAAAGTTCTAAAACTTAAGCAAATGCTCTTTTGATTCAGACTTCTATAAATTATTACAGTTTCCCTATTTGCATTAGTGCAACGTGTAAAGGAGTGAGTGCATTTGCTCAATGATCTCTCCAGTGTGAAATCTGGGTGTTTGTTCTCCTCTTTGTAAATCAAACATCTTTTCACTGCAGTGGGGTTGGGTCTTCTTCCAAAACATTCAGTATATTCAACAAAGAGCATAATTCCAAGCACTGAAGGCAAACACAAGCTGGTATTAAAGCTCCACAGTGTTTCCCACTTACGCAGACACAGTGGTTTTGATTGCTGAGGATCCCATTCAAGTTTAATTTTCCTGCAAAGTTTTAGCCAACTCACTTCAGCTGTTTTTCAGAATGCAGAGAGGGAAAAGGTTATTGTTCTCCTCATGTAATAAAATTCTAGTTGTTATTAGCATGTTTTGATGAAAAGATGTGACATTTGGCAGAGGGTGGCAGGTGACTCAGAGAAATGCATTTTTCTAACCTCATGAAAATCATTTTATGGAATAGTAAGCACAATCTAAATGATTCTAAAACATTTAAAACCATTAAAGCAGGTTAGAACTGTTACTCAAAATCATTATTGCAATTTTATATAAATTAAAATAAATTGAAGTAACTAATTTCAGGCCTTTAAGTGTTTTTATCTGATTTTTTTTCCAAGAGGAATATACTGTAGATACCCTTCTCCAGCTATTTGCAGAATTCAAATACAGTCAGACAGTTTTACTCTAATTCACCTTTATTTAAAATTATCTTTGGACTATGACAAAGAATGTGTTAAATAAAATAGTTAATAGACTGAAAATTTAACCTCAATGTTAAAATGTAAAAAAGCCTTTCCCTAATCCTATGAAACAAGATAGGCTGCTAAAAAGCGTATTTGGTAGCTTCCAAGACATACACAGAAGGCCACATTTCATAAGTAAAAAGTGCATCTGTTTAATCTCTCCTCTTCATCACAAAATGTTCATCAACAGAAAAAGGCTGAAAATGGAAAGAGCAGTGGGAAAATTTAATCTTCTAGTAACACAAGTTTTGAGTACATAACTAAATCCTCTACATTCTTGAGGCAAAATGCTTGCTTCCATGCTTAAAAGGCTATAGCAGTAAGTTTATTAGTCAGGTTTGCCATTAAATATCCATCACTAGGATGATGAGAAACCAGTTACTTACATTAGCATCTAGCTGGTACTTCACAGAATCATGGAATGGTTTGGGTTGGAAGGGACCTTAAAGATCACATAGTTCAAATCCCCTTGACATTTATTATAGTGTGAAGAAATATTAGCATATTCTGAACTGTTATCGGATTTTGCTAGAGCACAGAAAAAAAGAACCAACAAAACGGGCAATAAAATCAGTAACATTTAGGAACTGATTGTATTAGTTTCACACTTTCCTACTGGTTTCCATTAATATTTTTCTATAGGTTGGTTTACATTAATATGGGGTAGTTGAATATTTGAAGAAGAAAATATTCTGCACAGATTTCAATAGAAATATGAAGGAAACTGCATGCTTAGTTATATTTTTGAAGCTGTCAAGTTACATGATCTCACAATTAATTTAATTGCAGTGGATAGCACAAGATGTACAGGAAGTGGTTTTTCCACAAACATGAGCTAGTTATGAAACCTTCTTGATCCTCCACAAGTTA